CTCTCTCACATTTACTTTCTAAATAAACTATATTTTTCAGTTAAAAAAAAAAAAAGAAAGAAATCAGATCAGGACAAGTACACTTCATCAGCAATGAAAGATTAGAAAATATGCTTTCGTTTCCTTTAAAATGTTTGTTTCAGCCAGGCGCGATGACTCACGCTTGTAATCCCAGCACTTTGGGAGGCAAAGGCAGAAGGACTGCTTGAACCCAGGAGTTTGAGACTAGCTTAGGCAACATAGCAAGACCTTGTCTCTACAAAATATCAAAAAAATTAGCCAGACATGGTGGTGCGTCCCTGTACTTCCAGATACTCCAAAGACTGAGGCAGGGAAGGATTGCCTGAACACTGGAGGTCGAGGCTGCGGTGCCACTGCCACCAGCCTGGGTGAGACAGGGAGATCTCGATTTCAAAAATTAAAAAATTAAGACATTCAATCTGGATGAATAAAACAAGTGTGATCACCTGCCTTCAATATATTCAGCCTTCAATACAAAACTGTTAAGATATAGCTAGGCATAAAAGTCATTGTTGTTTGCCTTTCATCGGTCCCTTCAAAAAGATCTGTCACTCAAGGAATTATATATCAAGTCCCCATTGTGAGTGCAGTTACTTGAATGCCATTTGCTTTCTGTGACATGAGCCAGGAATACATAATGTCTCTCTTTTTGTACACTAAAACCCACTATCCTACCAGGTAAACTCTTCAAAACTATTATCATTCTCAATTTCCCTACCAAGTCAAAGCAATTCTGAAACCAGAACACTATGAATGGTTTAGAAGGCAAGGGCAGAAGATAGCAACAGCGTCCTCATCACTCTCAAGGTATATATTCCTGTGATTTAGAACTCCCCTCTAAACAAAACAGAAGAGTTACTACAGTTACAATTTTGTTAACACCATGGGGAAACTGAAAGAAGCCACTAAAGGGTTCATTTTATTGCTTTACAGACAAATGTTTAGAGATTTGTTACTCTAATCCTTGATAAGTTGTTATGGCAGAAATAATTAAAATTTTTTTTCTTTCGAAGCAACACCTCTTTTAAGAAACTAAAAACTCCATTAGTTGAGCTAGTTTTCTAACATTACAGAAAATTTAAAGAGTAAGTTGAAAATTACCCTAAGGCTTCTTTTGAATAGTACTCCATTAAGGTAATAAGACTTTGGAGATTTTTCTCAAGACTGAAAACATGGCCAACCGCCGATCTTCCCACAGGATTAAAAGTAATCAAATAAAGATTGTGAAGGGTTCCCAGGAGATCTGAATGGTCAGTTTCTTCACTGGCAGTACAACGCTGAAAATGGTTAAATAGTTCTGTGATACACTGCAACGTCTGTGTTGAGTCCTGTAGCCACAAGGCAAATGCGTCATCAATAACACCATCAGATTGGAGACCTTCCTCTTCATCTTGATCATAAAGGTGACACAAAGCTCGAATCAACAAGTTCGTTGCCTCATATTCCGACATAAAAAAAAGAAGACCCTTTTGTGACTGTGCGAGAAACTTTAAAACATCTTTTGTGGCTTGCAGCACACCAGGGTGGGCACTTGTTACTGGAATTGACAGAAGCAAGGTTACTAACTCCAAGAAGTGATGACTGTGAAGATACCTGTGGAAGAGTTAATTGACATATGTCAAGTCACTGCAAAGCATTCTTCATTTACTCAAAATGTGCTAGACAAGAGACCAGTAAAATTTAATTTTTTTTTTAGAGACAGGGTCTCTAAAAAATGCTGGAGTGCAGTGGTACGGTCATAGTTCACTGCAGCCTCTAACTCCTGGGCTCTAGCAATCCTACCACCTAGGCTCCTAAGTAGCTAGAACTATAAGTTTATGCCACTATGCTTGGCTAATTCTTTTTTGTTTAATAGAGACGGGATCTCACTATGCTATCCAGGTTGATCTCAAACTCCTGGTTTCAAAGTGATCTTCCAGCCTTGCCCTCCCAAAGTCCTGGAGTTATAGGCATGAGCCACCCAGACCAAGACTGGTAAAATTTTTAATGGCCATAATCCTTAGCCTCAGTAATATACTGCTTTAGCTAAAAACATAATGTGAGTAGCAAATCTTCTCTCCTCTAGGCCAAATAAAAGTGAAAGTTCTTCCTCCTAGCTAGCACAAAACAGATGTTCAATAAATAACTGCTGACCAGTTTTCTCTTTCCAGAGTTAACCTTGGTTTTAAATTCTGTGTCTTCTTAACAGCCAGTTACCAAATGCTCCTCTTTCATCATGGTCTTCCTCTACTCATGGCATATCAGTATATGTAAATTAGTGTATCTAGGAAATATATAGTATATACACGGTTGATCCTCTATATCTGTGGGTTCCACATTTGTGGATCCAACCAACAGCAGATTGAAATTATTTTTTAAACACATCTGTATTAAATGCATACAGATTTTTTTCTTGTCATTATTCCCTAAGCAATACAGTATAACAACTATTTACATAGCATTTACACTGTACTAAGTATTATAAGTACTCTAGAGATGTTTTAAAATATACAAAAGTAAGCCAGGCTCGGTGGCTCAGCCTGTAATCCCGCGCTTTGGGAGGCTGAGGTGAGTGGATTGCCTGAGCCCATGGGTTCGAGACCCGCCTGGGCAACTTGGCGAGACCTCATCTCTACAATAAATCAAAAATTAGCCAGGCGTGGTAGTGCACACCTGTAGTTCCGGCCACTTGGAAGCCTGAGGTGGAAGGATTGCTGGAGCCCAGCGGGTCGAGGCTGCAGTGGCCAGGAGCGGCCACTGCACTCCAGTCTGGGTGACAGAGTGAGACTCCAACTCAAAAAAAAAAAATTTGTGGTAGAAAGTATCATAATTTATTCATCTAAAAAGAGTAAAAATTATTTAAAATTCTGACTCGTTCTTTTCACATTTTTAGTCACCACAAATGGTGACACAATAGCTTCCATCAACACCAGTCAAGATATTACTAATAGATCATGCTTTCTTTAAACTCCAGCCCCTTCTCCAATCTTGGAGAGGTGAATCTACCTACTCTTTCTAAATAAACTATCTTTCCTGATTTAAATAAATAAATAAATAAATAAAAAAGATATTACTAATAAGTAATTTAGAGGCCAGAATTTATTTTTATCAAAAACTAAAATTAGGCCAGGCACGGTGGTTCAAGCCTATAATCCAAACACTTTGGAAGGCTGAGGTGAGAAAATTGCCTGAGTCCAGGGGTTTGAGAACAGCCTGGGCAATCTGGTGAGACCTCGTCTCAATAATAAATAAAAAATTTAGCTGGAGGTGGCACGCACCTGTAGTTCCAACTACTTGGAAGGTTGAGGTGGAAGGATCGCCTAAGCCTAGAAGTTCGAGGCCATAAGCGTGCCACTGCACTCCAGCCTAGGCGACAGAGTAAGACTACAACTCAAAAAAATAAAAACTAACTTGACGAGACCTCATCTCTACAATTAATCAAAAATTAGCCAGGCATGGTAGCACGTGTCTGTACTTCCAGCTAGTTGGAAGGCTGAGGCGGAAGGATCCCCCAGAGCCCAGCAGGTCAAGGCTGCAGTGGCTGGGAGTGGCCACTGCACTCCAGTCTGGGTG